CCCCCCAGCCGCCCGCCCTCCTCGCCGGCGCGCAGGCAGCGCGACAGGCGCTCCCGCGTCTCGCCCTCCACCGCCAGCGTCCCCGTGATGCTCTTCTGCGCTTTGAGCAGTGCCACCCAAGCTCGCAGCGCAGCCACATCCTGGCCACCAAACTCTGCGGCCAGCGATGCGTAGGTGGCCGGGAGGAGGCGCAGGGTCCAGGGCAGGAGGTGGTTGGCAGCGTTGCTCTGGAGGATGGGCACGGCAGAACGGAGCGCCCGCGAGAGCAGCGGCAGCCAGTGCAGCGCCCAGCGCTCGGCCAGAGCCTCCTCGGCCCCGCTCTGCCCCGCCAGCCCCTCGGTTCGCTGCTGCTGCACCACTGCCTTGTAGACCTCGGTGGCAGCTGGACACAGGTGGTTGGTGGCGAGGCAGCTCAGGAGGTGCTGCGGCAGGTCCCTGTAGGCATCCAGGACCTGGGAGGAAAGCAGATGATCACTCTAAGGGACGCTCGACATGTGATTGATGTGCAGCCTTGCTCTTGTCTTGCACCTGGGATACATCTCAGCAACAAGCAATGCTTTCCAGCTACCCACCAGCACAAAACAACTGCTGGTATCTCAAGAGCCCAGGAAAAAAAGATGTTCCAGGGATCATGTCAGTGCTGAGAGCAGCAGGCTTGCTGGAGGCTGCCAGCAGAGAGGACCCTGTAGCCCTAGGGATGCAGCTCAGAGCTAAGGGGCCCCATCTATGAGTGTGCCAGCAGTACGTGCACCGGCACCTTCAGTTAGTGTCCCACTCATGGCTCAAGCTGTTGGATGCTGTGTCACCCGCTACCAGTGGGTACAGGCATCAGCCCTCCCTGATGCAGCCAACTCGTCCTGCTGCTCCAAACGGACTCTCCCGCTCCTGCCTGGGCTTCCCTACCTGCTCACTGCCCACGTAGGGGACGATGGCACACAGAGGTACGTATCTGCCTTTGACTTGCCACGGCATCGAGATGACCCTCTTTAGCATCTGTCTGTAGAGAGGCCTCTCCTGGTCCTCGAAGTGCCTGCACTCGAGACAGTAGATTTCCAGGAGCAGCCGAAAGGAGCTGTGGATAAACTCGGACACCCCTTCCACCTGGCAGAGGGAAGGACAGACACTGAGAGGGGTTAGAGCTTATGCCCTCTCCTGCCTTGGTGCCAGGAGATGAGCCAGGCTGAAACCAGTGTGTGACCATGAGCCGTTTCTCATTACAGGGGCACTGGGGTTTGACTCAACCTTACCGGCGTCTCAGAGTTGTTCCACAGCAGCTGCATGAGCTGGTTGAGGAGATCTGAGTCCTCGGCCAGGATGCGGCTCCCCTTCAAGCACCAGATCCCGGGCAGGCTTTCCTGGAGGCGTTGCAGCCAGAGGGAGAAAACTGGAAGTAGAGAGTGGCCTAATGTGGTGGGGAGCTTGACAACCCATGTGCAACATGGCCCAGTGTGGGTCATTTGGGGGGACTTAGGGAACCTGCATACAAGGTGGGCAGTTTCTCCATCAGCCCACACAGATACACAGAAACAGCTGTGCACAGAGTTAAATGGACTGCAACAGATGTTAACAGCAGTTTCCAGATCAGACATCTAGATTTTGAAGATAATTTTCTCCTTGAGAAGATCAAATGCTGTGGCAGCTCTGTGGTGGCTGCTGTGGCGCATCACCAGGACAGGGAATCCTCTAAACTCCGCTGCTCGACGATGGTGAGGTTGTAGTCTCTTACCTTGGAAGTAGTAGTAGTGGCAGTCCCTCCGCTCTTTGCTGAGGGCATACACAGCAGGAAAGAGCACATCCAGCAACAAGCAAGCCTGCAGGAACATAGCCATGTTAGGGAGTGGGCACATGGGGGCTTTCCAGGGCAAGAAAACTGCTCCATGAGATGGGGAGCCGTGTGCTTTGCAGCTTGTAGCTTATGAGCTCTGCAGCTTGTAGCTCTAGCGGTTGAGCCTGAGTGCTCCTACCTGGTGGGTGAAGCTCTCCAGCTGGCAGCTGAGGATGTCTGTCCTGCAGCAGGTGAGCAAACCTCGGGCCAACACCAGCCTTTCCAGCCCATCTGGCTCGGGGACAGAGGTGGCCTCCACTATCAGCTCCCCAAACCTGAGCTCTCCCATGCCTAGGTGGAAACAGCCATGTTAGATGGGAGAAAGGCTTT